CCTGTTGAGTTCGTAGGTGTTCAGAATGGTTTGATCCCTATTCAGCTGAATTCCTGAGACCAGACGAAATCCAGGTCTCCTACTCCTCCGCCATCTTGCTCCGCCCCCTTGTCTTTTATTTTTAAGTAATCTCTACACCCAACATAGGGCTCAAACTCACAACCTGGAGATCAGGAGTTGCATGCTCTACCAACTGAGCCAGCCAGGCACTCCTTGAAGTAATAACTTAAAAAAAAAAAAAAGATTTATTTAGTTATTGATAGAGCACGTGTGTGCATGTGTGCGTGAGTGGGGGAAGGGGGAAAGGGAGAGAGAGACTCTTCACGCAGACTTCCCCTGAGTTCAGAGCCTGATGGGGCTTGTCCCCACGACCCATGAGATCATGACCTGAGCCGAAACCAAGAGTCAGACACTTAACCAAGTGAGCCACCCAGGCGCCCCTGGAATAATAACTTAAAAAAAATTGTAACATTTATTACTTGAGCCAAACACTATTGGAGGCACTGTCCGTGTATATTATCCCATTCATGTCTTACAGGTGCCCTGAGGGTCAGTTCTGTTGCTCCTCTTTACAGATAAGGAAATGGAAGCTCAGAGAGGTTGGGTAACTTGCCCAAGGACACATATCTACAAGAGATGGCACTGGGAGCCAAACTCTGGTGGCTTGGTTCCAGAGTCCTGCCCCTTGGCCACACAGCAGAGACAAAGGTTTCAGGGTCCCACCCAGAGCCAAGGACCAGATTTCTTGTTGGCCCTCAGTAATGAGCATACACTGCTCTCCATCCACTGGGTTTCAGCCACTCTGTTCCACTCAAGCCTCCTTAGTCCCTGCCATGGCCCTTCAGCCTCACAACTTTTGCCTTCTCTCTTGTGGTCCTTTGGCTTCTGCTTCCTTTCCCTGTCAACTGCTGACCCCTCCCAGTGCCTCCCAAGTCAGACTCCTCAACAGAGAGGATCTGATGGGCTTCTGTTGGGCAAAGCTCACATGTCAGGCTGCTCCAAATGCTGCTGGCCAAACCCTTGGTGGGCTGCTCCTGGCTCATGGGCCATCCTGGTCCAAGTGGATGTGGCCAAGAGGTTAGGGACACCTGATGTTCCCCAGAAGGGCCTGAAAGTCTGGCTGGTTCTCAGAGCCTAAAAACTTCTAAAACTTCAACTCAAAAAGGATTTAAAAGGATTAGAAGAATGTCACAGACATGGATGCTTTTGCCTTCCTGCCTCAGGTTGGGTTGCCTTAACAAAATACCATAGACTGGGGGCCTTAAACAGCATACATTGCTTTTCTCACAGTCTTGGAGGCTGGGAAGTCCATGGTAAAGGTACTAGCCAATTGTTTCTGGTGAGAGCTCCTTTCCTGGCTTGCAGATAGCAGCCTTCTTGCTGTGTTTTCACATGGCAGAGAAGGAGGGAAAGAACTCTCCGGTGTCTCTTATAAGGGCACTAAGGCCATGGGCACTAATCCCTCATGACCTCATCCAACCCTAATTACCTCCCCAAGGCCCCATCTCCAATACCAAAACACTGGAGGCTAGAGCTTCAATGTATGAATTTGTAGGGGACGCAAACATTCAGTGCATAACACTGCCTAATATTCCTTCCCTTTTCTGGGACCTGCACCCTGATTTTCCTTTTGGGAATCACCCCCCCCCCCACTCAGTTCCTGTGGTCCTGGAGAACTACCCACACACAGCTACATGGGTAGGTAGAAATTGCCCTGTCCAATAAAAATATCTACTCCCTGGATATAATGATTGTTTAAAAGATAGAGCCATGACCCATATTTGGACCAATCAGAGGGCCTGCTGTAGACTGAATTATGCCCCCCCAAATTCATATGTTGAAACCCTAGCCCCCAATGTGACTATATTTGGACATGGGGCCTTATGGGAGATCATTAAGGTTAAATGAGATCATAAGGGTGGGACCCCAATCCCATAGTACTGGTGTCCTTATAAGAAGAGGAAGAGGCCCCAGATCTCCCCCACCCAGCCCAGCTCTCTCTCTCACCCCCTGTCCCCATGCAGAGGGGTGAGGACGTGTGAGGACTCAGTGAGAGGGTAACTGTCTACAATCCAGGAAGAGGGGCCTCACCGGAAATCAGCCCTGATGGCCCCTCGATCTTGGACTTCCAGCCTCCAGAACCATAAGAACATAAGTCCTGACCGTGCCTGATTTGAGCACCTGGATCTACCTGAACTGGGTCTCATGTCTGCATACCGCAGTTACACAAGCCAATGAATTCTCTCTGCTTGAGTTTCGTTTCTGTCACTTGCAACCAAAAGCACTGTGACTGATACAGAGTCAAGTTTCATTTTATTATATTCTTTCATTATATCTGACCAGAGATATCATCATAATTACACTGGTGTAAATGAGTTGTAGTCAGACAGTGACAGTCTAATTGAAGTTGTAGTCAGACAGTGACAGTCTAATTGAAGCCTCCCTCGGGGCAGGTGAACAGAGAAGAACTTGGAAATTCTTGAATTCTCACCGGCTACTTGGAGACCATGCATCTGGTTGGCTTTCTCCTAGAGGGTGAAATCTTTAAGGGGGGTTATGGAGTCCTTTGCCTAAGCCCTTGTTCCTCCAAGGGGCAGCTCTTCTCACCAAGAGGCATCACCCAGTGTAGAAATCTCCATGTGCATGGCAGCAGGTCAGATCTATGGAGGCTTTGCTTGACACCAGGCAGCACATGGCCCTTGTACGGCCAAGCATCTTGCTCAAGCTCTTAATTGATCATGATGCAGTGATTAACTTAGAGTGGCTGCCAGCAGGGATTATTTCCTGTCTGGGCTGGATGGCCACATCGGCCAATAGCAGTCAGAGAAACCCAGCAAATTCTCAACTCCAGTGGCCTCAGGAAATGACAGTGGTTCTCAAACTTCAGCATGCATCTGAATCATGTGGGGGGCGGGGGGAACTTGCCAAAACACAGATTGCTGAGCCTCACCCCCAGAGTTTCTGATTCAGCAGTTCTGGGTGGGGCCTGAGAATTTATATTTCTCGCAAGTTCCCAGGGGAAGCTGGTGCTGCTGGTCTAGGGATGATACACTGAAAATCACTGATTTAGAAGATTGCTGGAGAATTGGATGAAAGCCCCTCAAAGGAGGAGAAATTATCCAGTGCTTGGTTTTTGGGTTTCCCTGAAACCTTCACTCCAACAAAGACCCCCCTCTATCATCTCCGTTGTGGGTTCTGAAGTCTTGGAAAAGGACGGGAGTGAAAAATGTAAATTTACAGAAAAAACGATATGCAATACCAACTTCATGCTAGTGGGCATAGAGCTGGGAATGTTACGGAATGGTTGTGTGTCTGTCTGTCACAGCCGCTCCTAGGTACATTTACCTTTGTTTCATGGAGAAAGAAGTAGAGGTAGCAGGGGCGCCTGGGTGGTTCAGTCGTTAAGCGGCTACCTTTGGCTCCGGTCATGGTCCTAGGATCCTAGGATCGAGCCCCGCATCAGGTTCCCTGCTCCGCGGGAAGCCTGCTTCTCCCTCTCCCACTCCCCCTGCTTGTGTTCCCTCTCTTGCTGTGTCTCTCTCCATCAAATAAATAAATAAAATCTTAAAAAAGAAAGAAAAGAAGTAGAGGTAGCAGGCAGTGTTATCTAAAGAGAAGACAGATAATGGAGTTAATTTTTTTTTTTGGTCATGAAAATTACCAAATGTATACAAAAGTAGAGAAAATAGCATAATGAATCCCCAAATGCCTCAAACTTGGCAATGACAGGTTCTCCAAGTTGAGTGTTCATCAGAATCACCTGGGAGACTTGTCAAAATAGAGATTGGGTGAACATCTCCACATTCTAGAATTATCAAGACTTTGCCACATTGATGGCAGTCTTCCAATTGTACAGCACCGGTATCCTATAATCTCTGAGAGGCAGATTTTTTTGGTCATTCACAAATGAAGTTAGAAGTTCAGCCACAAGGACACTCTGCTCAAAGGGAACACTGATAACATATCTCCCCGTGGTAGCCCCGATTGGGCCTGTGTTCATTCAGAAAATAACCCTGTGTTGGGCTCTGCACTCAGTGTGCAGTCTGCTTGTCCCTCTCAGGAACAGAGGTTCCTTCCCCTGTTTTCTCTTTCTCAAATAAATAAGTAAAATCTTAAATAAATAATAGATAGATAGACAGACAGATAGATAAATAAATAACCAACCAACCCAGAAGGGAAGCAACACAGTGTGACACTTGGATAACTGTTTCACAGCTTCTAATGAAAGTAAAGGTGGGCTCACCTGTGACCCAGTAAATCCACTCATAGGTATTTACCCCAGAGAAAGGAGAGCTTAAGTCCACCAAAACAAACAAAACTTTCCAGAATGTTCACCATAACTTTATTAGGTACAACAGGAAGATCTCAAACGCAGAGCTGAGTAAGAGAAGCCGGACACAACTGAGAATATTCAGTACTATTTCAAGTATAGGGCCAAAAACAGGCAAAACGAATCTATAATGACAGAAAGCAGGATATTGTGGTGGCCTCAGGCTTGGGGGTCAGGGGGCTGCTATGAGGGAAGGTAGATTGGGAAGAACCTCGAGGCATCTTTTGGGGGTATTGGCACGTTCTATTAGTTGAGCTGGTGGTGGTTACACAGGTGTGCATATAAAGGAAAATTAATGGAGGGGAACCCGGAGGGTTTGGGCATTTCGGGGCGTGTAAGTTACACTTCGGGCAAGTCCTCTTCCCACACATCCGCAGCCACGCCCACACCAAACCCCGGGAGGCCCAGACCCAGCTGCGGCCCCCGCCTTGCCCAATTCGGAAGGGCCCGGCCCACCGTCCAGGCCAGCTTCTGCGCCTCGGCGAGCGCAGGGAGGCCGCGCCCTCCCGGGAAATCGCCGGGCAGCCCCTCCCCGGCCGGGTCCCGCCCGGGCTGGACCGGGGTCCCCGGCGCGGGTCCCCGACGCGTGCGCCCCGCCCCCACCGGCACCCGGCGACCGCCCGCCCGGGCGCGCCCCGCCCTGGCCCCGCCCCCGGCCCGCCCCGCCCCGCTTATCTGGCCGGTCGGCCGCGGCCAGGCAGGCGGCGGACGGGCAGGGGGGCCGCGCGATGTCGCACGGAGCCGGGCTCGTCCGCACCACGTGCAGCAGCAGCGGCGGACCGGGGGCCGGCGCGGGGCAGCCGGGCGCGAGGCCCTCGGAGGGGCTGCTGGACCCCGTCTACCCCCGCACGTACTCGGCCCTGCTGAAAGTGGCGCAGATGGTAAGAGAGGCCCGGGGCGCGGGGCCGGGGTCTCGCGGAGAGGCCCGGCGGGAAGGGGAGCCGGGAGGTGGCGCGCCGGGCGGCTGGAGCCGGGCGGAGCCCGCCGGAGCATCTCGCCGCGGGCGGGGCGGGGGGACTGCGCCGCCACAGTCAAGTTCGGGGAGGGCTTTCCTTCGGAAAGTTGGGTGCGCTGCCCGCGCCCTGGAACTCAGCCCCGACGCCGCCCTTGCACCCACGGACGCAGGTCTCCAGGGTCCCAAGTTTTTTCCAGCCACCCCTCTGCGGGGCCCGACCCGCTTTCCGACAGAAACCACAGGCAAAAGTTGCATTTCCTCTTCCTTCCTCTTCTCCGGGCCGCGCCGCTTCGAACCCGAGCCGCGGGGTGGAAGAGTCGCCCGGGCGGCGCGCTGAGGCGGCGGAACCCGTCCTTCTCCCCCTCGAGGCCTCCTCTCCCCTCCCAACCCAGAGAGCAGGGCTGCCCTGCTCGGGGCGCAGTTTCGCAGAAGAGAGGAAGTCCGAAGTTCTCAGTTCCCTGGTGGGGAAAAGGGATGGGGACCCTGAGGGGCAGCTGCCCTAGACCCCTGCCCTCTCAAGTTCAAGGGAGGGTCCAGGTCTCAGGGGGCCGCTGGAACGCCGAGGATCGATGGGGAAGGTCCGTTTTGAGGAGCCTGTGCACTAACTTGTCCCCTCGCTAACTGTTTGGAGTATCCAACCCTGTATTTACTGTTTTTTCCTATGTGTACATACCTATGATAAAGTTTAATTTATCAATTAGGCGTAATAGGAGATTAACAACGACTAATAATAAAATAGAACAATTATAACTATATACTGTAATAAAAAATATGTAAATGTGGTCTCTTTCTCAAAATGCCTTATTGTACTGAACTCACCCTTCTTGTGATGATGTGAGGTGATAAAATGCCTGACCGATGAGATAAAGGGAGGTGAATGATGTGGGCATTGTGACCTAGCTTTAGGCTGCTATTGATCTTCTGACTACTCAGCAGAACACAGGGTCATCTGCTTCTGCCCTGTGGTTGACTGTGGCTAACTTAGCACAACTGTGGACGGGTGGGGGGTGGGGGGTACTACAGTACTTATTTGGGGGAGCCAGAGTCACCTGAAGTGGGGGTCACCTGTGGAGCCAGGCAGGCTAAAAGTCTGAGCCCTGAGTATGTGTGGTGCAGGAACCTTCCACCAAGGCTGATGTCTGGCCCGTTCTCAAGGTCCCCACTCTTCTTTCTTCCCAGCTTTTTCTTCTTTAAACAAATTTTCGTCTTAAACACCTTTCCCATTAGTTTGACGTGTTTTGTGCCGCTAGGTTGGGCTGTTTGTGACTCCACTCATTGTAATGTTTGCGGCAAAAATGGTGGGTGGCGGGGAGTGGTAGTTTGGAAGAGGGGTGTGGAGGAAGGAATGTGGCATAGGAACAAGATTACACATCCAGAAGCTAAGGTGGGCCAGTCGCAGGGTGCTGGACGCAGTGAGAGCTGCTTGTGAATCCATAGCACTGTTGTTCTGGTCTGTGTAGAGGGGGCTGTCATTTCCTGCTTAGGCCAGATCAGAAGGGAGGGGGACTGAGTTCTCTTTTCTCTAAGAAGGGTGTCTGGATGGACCAAAAATTAGGAAGTGTTAGCTACTACCAACAACAGCAAATTGTGCTGAGGAGTGTTGGTTTTGAGCAGGCATTTTTTGGCTCAGGGTAAGACTGCTAATCAGCCAAATAGAGGGGACCAGCCCACCTCTTTGTCCTTAAAAGGTGGGCGGGGGTGAGACAGACCCTAATGGAGCACTGGAAGACATACCATGAATCAAATAATGAGTTCGGTGGACAAAAATTGGAATCAGAAGCCTTCATCTGGTCCTTGAGTTTGATGGACAAAGGTAATGGGGTCAAGAAGGCTCCATGTTGGTCCATGAGTTTGGTGGATAAGGGTTGTAGAGAAGAGAAAGCTCCACTTCATTGAAAGCTCCTCAGCTAGCCTCTTGCCTGTGTCCCTTAAGTCACAGGGCTTGTTGTTCCATAGAAGGGAACAAAGACCTAGAGAACGGCTTCTCTGTTGTGCCTCTCTTAAAACCAGGCTCACGGGATTCTTACCCCTTCTTCCTTCCCTGGGGAGGCCCCTGTGATTGCAGGCTGGTTTGAGCAGACCCCTTGGAAGTGAACTTACCCTTGCAGGGTGGTCATATTGAAAGACTCTTTAGGGTTGTCCACCTGGGCCTCTTGTCTAACTCTTTCCCATTCTCCTCCTCTTCCTCTTTTCTGGGGCCTGCATGGACATTTGATATTCTTTCATCTCCTTTGCCAGAAACATCTGCATAGCCAGGAGTTAACAACATTGGGGAAGGGCAGATGCAGCTGAAGTGGTACCACCAGTGGGCACTGTATCCATGGGGCTCCGATTTTGACCACTGATGTCTCATTTGCATCCCGAATAGGCTGACCCGTATGTCCTAGACTTCCCATAAAGTGTTTTCCTCCGTCTAATCGACAGACCTGTCAACATATTACCTTAAGAAATAATTGAAAAGGCTGTTCCCTTTTCAATAAGGAACAACTTCCTTTCTTTGCTTTGAGTCTCTCCTGGGTCCACCACCACCAGAAAATGAGGAGAGATAATGGAAGGAAAGTGAGTTTCTCAGTAAATGTTGGTACTTTTCTCTTTAATGAATCTTTATAATCTTGTGGCCCCAATAGTTTAGTTTCTTAGGTCTTCCTCTTTAGACTAGAGACTGTCACAGTTGTTGGCCCTATAGGAGTGGGTTTCTTTGTTGTTGTTAATAGGTCTATTTTTTGAACCTTACCATTGTTCTTTGTAAGGCGCTAGGGAGAGATGACTGGGTGCCTCAGTTGGTTAAGCATCTACCTTTGGCTCAGGTCACGATCCTAGAGTCCCGGGATCAAGCCCGGCAGCGGGCCCCTTGCTTGGCAGGGAGCCTGCTTCTCCCTCTGTCTGCTGTTCTCCCTACTTGTGCGCTCCCCCACCCCCCCGACAAATAAATAAATAAAATCTTTAAAAAAAATAAATGATGTACTAGGAATTCCATACTGTACATCACAGATGTGTCATTAACTGTTTTTAAGGATCATGTGAAAGAACATGTTTTGACAAAGAAGAAACTGATTGAGAGGTTGAACTAGTAATATCCCACAGCTGTCAGCAGCAGAGCTGGGGCTGACCCAGGCCTGACGGGCTTCGTGTGCCCAGAGACCCTGCAGAGTTGTTGCTTGTTAATAGATCTAGGGAAATCAGTGCCCACTGAGGTACCTCTTCACACCCAGTAGGATGGCAGCAGTAGGAAAGACATGATATCAGGACAGAACCATGTGGAGGACGTGAAGAAATCAGAGCCTTCATACATTGCCAGTTGGCCGGGGGTGTGTAAAAGGGTGCAGACACTTAGGCGAATAGTCTGGCGGTTCCTCAAACAAACATGGAGTTGCTGTATGATCCAACGGTTCTGCTGCTAGGTAGATACTGAAGAGAAGTGCAAACACTTCTCTTAAGTATATTGTGTGAAAACACACAAAAACTTATACACAAAAGTTCATAGCAGCATTATTCATGAGAGCCAAAACGTGGAAACAACCCAAATGTCCTGATGAGGACTGGACTGATGAATGGATAAATAAAATGTGGTGTATTCATGGGATGGAATCTTAGCAGAAAAAAGTATAAAGTACTGACACAGGCTACAACATGGATGATCCTTGAACACACGCTAAATGGAAGAAGCCAGAAACAAAAGACTACATATTCTTTTTTTTTTTAAAGATTTTTGTTTATTTATTTGATAGAGAGAGCACAAGCAGGGAGAGTGGCAGGCAGAGGGAGAGGGAGAAGCAGGCTCCCCAAGCAGGGAGCCCGATGCAGGGCTCCATCCCAGGACCCTGAGATCATGACTTAAGCCGAAGGCAGACGCCTAACCGACTGAGCCACAAAGGCGCCCCAAGAGACTACATATTCTATGATTCCACTTAACATGGCATGTCCAGAACAGGCAAATTTCTAGAGACAGAAAGTCAATTAGTGGTTGCTTAGGGCTGGGGAGTTCGGGAGCAATGGAGAGTAGCTGGTAATAGGTAGGTGGTTTTTTTTTGGATGATAAAAATGTTCTAAAATGGTCTGTGGTGTTGGTTGCCCAACCCTGTGAATATACTAAAAACCATTGGATTGTACACTTTAAATGTGTGAACTGTATCTCAGTAAAGCTGCCAAAAGGAAATCTAGGGCAGAGTTCAGAGGGGGGTACTCTGCATGACACCACTGGGTGTGGGAGGGCCACAACACAGGAAACCCCCTGGCCATCCTCTCATATCCACTACTAGAGGAAGAGATGTCCCCCTGCAGACCTCACAGAATCTGAGCCTGAGGAGGGGGGTGCCCTGAGGTCTGAAGAGGTCCAGATGGCCCTGTGTGTGACCTCGCCAGCATTCCTCATCAGTTCCGCAGACATTTATGAGTGCCACGTTCATCTTCCTTTCTGCGGGAGCAGGGGGCTGTGACAGAGCCCTTGCCCTCAGGAAGTCTGTGGTTTCACTGACGAGACAGACAAGTCCCAAAATTGGTCGGGGAGATAAAAAAAAGTCTGGTTGCCTGCACTAGGAAGGAAGGAGAGAGGCTTGAAGGTGAAGGTCACATCTGAGTTGAACCTTGAGAGCTGAGTACAGGTTGGTGAGGTTGCGAGTGCACTCTTACCTCTGGAAGGCCTTTGTTCAGTATGTTTAAGTTGGAGATGAGGGATGGATCGGGGGCGTTGGAGGGGAAGAGAATACAGCAGGACGTGAGGACTTGGGCAGTACTGACATCTAGAAAGAGGCATCATCTCATTGCCTGGGTATCTGCTATGTTCTTATGTGAGGCGTGTGGAATACAGCGGTTAACAAGACAGACCCTTTCTGCGTGTGCAGAGAAATGGGGGCTGTGACATTTGCAGTACCATATGGAAGGAAAATCAGAGTGTAGTTTCACAAGCTGCAAAGATGGAAACTTAAA